CGAAACATAATTGGTCAAAATCAAATCCTTCCTACACCCCCTAGTACCTCTCTTATCTCCACGACTAACTCTTCTCACATTCATTCATCACAGTGCACAGCTAATACAGACGATATGAGTTCGCGAAACGTCGTTCCTGGTCTCCTTAAACCTCGCTCTAGACTACATGTTGGAGCATTTAATGTACGGACATTGTGTCAAATAGGGCAACAGGCATCATTAGCTATGACTTAAGAATGTTGTGCCGTCGATGTATGCTGCGTCTCGGAAACGCGCATACAGGATTCTAGTAAAATTATTAACCTGATTCCACCTTTTCAAAACGAAGAAGCAGCTCGATTTACACTTCGTGTATCCGGTAGCCCTGATGCTTCTTCCAGGGGTCTTGCTGGCGTAGGCATAGCGTTGAGTCGTAGAGCTGAACAATCTCTCCTTGACTGGATCCCAGTAGAAAGTCGCTTGTGCGCCGTCCGACTGAACAGGACAGTGAGGACTCGGAAAGATAGGGACACTCGCCGTTGCCTCTTCGTCGTATCTGCCTATTGCTCCACTGACTGCAGTTCAGACGGGGTTAAGGATGAGTTTTACAGAAAGCTTTCGGACCTCCTCCAAAAAGCTAGGCGATCTGATATAGTAATAATTGCTGGTGACTTTAATGCTCAAGTAGGTAGACTAATTGAAAATGAAATACACCTAGGTGGATGTTATGGTGTCGCGGTTCAGAGAACAGACAATGGCGACCGTCTGTTGCAACTGTGCTCAGATAATCAACTATTCCTAGCAAACACAAACTTTAGGCATAAGGGAAAGTATCTCTTGACCTGGCGACCTCCAAAGTCGTCTCAACGTTGGACCCAACTAGAGCACATCGCTATCAGCCACCAATGGAGGGGTTCGACAGAGGACTGCCGCTCGTTCTGGGGCACATATTTAGATTCAGATCATTCCCTAGTGCGAGCGCGTATTTGTTTAAGGCTTACTGGGCGTGGGAAAGACACCGTAAGAAAGCCTCTTAGGGCTTCACTTGATGATAATCAAGCTAAGAAAATATTTCAGGAGGAACTAGAAAAACAGTTAGGTGGCCATGCAAGTGATTCCCATCCGGAGTCAGGTTGGAATGATATCAAAAATGCTGTGGAAACAGCAGTGATATTTGTTAGTATTGTAAACCATATGATTTCGGAGAAGAAGTGGATTTCTGTAGCAACTACCGAACTGACAGACACTCGAAAGCTCATCCCGCCTGGCTCTGAGTGCAATGAGGAGCGCAGTCAGCTTAGGCGCAAGGTGGTAAAAAGTCTACGAAATGATCGCAAACAGTGGTGGGTAGCAAAAGCGAGAGAGATGGAAAAGGCAACGGTGGCAGGCAACAGTAGATTACTTATGAAACTCATCAAGGAAACTGGTATTAGGAATCCCAATGTGAGTGAGACTATCCCTCAAAAGGATGATGGTCTAATTATTCATTCTCAATCCAGGAGACTGGATCGATGGGAAGAACACTTTAGGGATCAGTTCAACTGACCTCGAGCCACACTTCGGTTGCCCGTGATCCCCAGTCATCCTGAATGGCAAATCGATTTAAGTCCTCCCATTCTACATGAAGTTGAGAAAGCTATATTAAATCTAAAGCGAAGTAGAGTAGCAGGTCCTGATAGGCTTACCCCTGAGATGTTTAAGGATGGTGTTCCAGTTTTAACAGTTAGACTGACCGATATCCTAGGTAGAATCTGGGAACTGGATGTAATCCCATCTGACTGGTGTAAATCGCTAATTGTCCCAGTCTACAAGAAAGGACAAAAGTCTCCTGGTGACAGTCACAGGGGAATCATTCTAACTAATATAATATCTAGATTGTTAGCCTCGATAATCCTTGGACGCCTAACTAGAGGTCGTGAAGAGCAGACTAGAGAAAACCAGGCTGTTTTTCGATCTGGACGTGGCTGTATAGACCACATTTTCACACTACGACAGGTACTGGAACACAGACACATTTAGGCGTCCGACAATAGTTGTCCTCCTGGACCTTAAGGCGGCATTTGACTCCGTGGATCAGTTCAACTGATCTTCCGAAGAAAATTTTCCTAATGTAGGAATGAGTTCAATATTCCATTCGCGATAAAAGTTATTTGAGATTAATCGATCATTTTTGAGATTACCAAGTTAAATCCTGATCGATTCAGAAATCAGAAAGAAGACGATTACTGGAGGAAGAGGTATATTGATATCCTGATATTGAAACAACATCAAGACTGGAATAAAGAAGCGGCTAACGACCAACGAGGAGGAACACGGAATGGGAGTGACACGCTCGGCGCGCCAGAGATGGTCTTTGGCACAGTTAAACAAAAGGAGTACAATAAAACGATTATTGTTTGAATTAAGTACGGTTATAAATGTTACCATTTCATTAGTTGTGTTCTCTTCGTAAAAGTATATCACTTAAAGAGTATGAAGCCAATACTACAGTTGAAATATGTTGATATATAAACGCCTTCTGGATATAAAATTAGCTCATATATACCGCGAAACTAGAAAAAAATAACAGAATGGAGATAGATAAATCACACGTGAAATGTTACATGCTTTACAACAGGTGACGCTACGGACTTTAGGAGTGGGTTGGATGACAACTGGCACTGGCTTGCGAAGTCATTGAATATTGGACTGAGCCATATTAGTAGGTGCGGATTACCTGATAAGAGACTTTGAATGACATGGCTCAAAATGGTTCGCAGTCTAGCAGATTCATTTTTACTTTGTTCTCCCCCACATTTTAAATTTTGAATCCATTAAAATTATTCTTGTTGCTGAATTTATTTTTAATTGGATCTTATCTTCGGCCCTTAATATTTTCAACTACTACTAAGACCGTTAATACCTTCAATATTCTGTATTTTGGCCTGACAATTCCATCTTTCTTTGCTATCAACAGGAATAAATTCTGTGTGAAGATTCCTCCTACGGCCCAGCAAATGATACGTTGAGGTCATCGCTTTTTTCACTCTTTTCCGAGTCGCTCTCTATAATGGTCTCCTTCTTTATAAGCAGACATCATTAGTGAATAATAAATGCTCACAGTGCGATACTCTTGGCGGTATCTTTCGGCTTATTCCATTGTCTGACATTCCAAACAGTTATTCACATGTAAACTATACTAGAATTAAAACATAACTTACATGACATATCAACCAATTTTTTTATAGTTGTTAGTTAAGTATTATGACAACTGCAGTTTTTCGTGATAAAATACTAGAAGTACTGTCATAATATTTGTTTGAATTAATAATTGATAGCAAGCATATTACTCAGAGTAAATGAACTGGTATGTATTAAACTTTAGATTTTGACAAACACTTCAAACTTGTTTTCTGTTGGGATTCTTAATGTCATAAAAACTATTTTCTGCCATTTTCAGATTCATCTTCTTGTGCCTGCTGTCGAAAGAATCGTTAATTCCTTTCTGTACGCTACTGACCTCTCAGAAACATGTTTTATGACTGAAATTTCTGATCGGATTTGAGCAACTGCCAGAAGTATTGCACAAAAAAATAAAGGATAACAAGTCTTTGAAAAAGTGACATTTATTATCGGACGAAAATGGGTCAGATGAGAGAGATAATGACAGGTTTTATGTGGTACAAATAAAGCGAAAAGGCTTTTTAATATCATGTATATTCTAAGTAGGATTACTCACATTTTATATGGTGGTAAAACAAAATTTTGTCGTTTCCCGTAGCAAATGATTAAAATTTATCATAATAACTTGATCTGCAATGTATCTCTAACTGTAGCATGAAGCTAATCCTGGACTCTATGTATTTAGCACGGAGTCTTGGTCAGTGTGAAGTTGTAATGAATAACGAGTTTTGTTGAAAGCATAAACCATTGAATATTATACCACAATTGGAAACCTGGGAGTACTGGTGGGCTGCTTCGTCCTAGTGTGAGACACAGGGAGTTCGCGTTTACTGTTCTGTTAACGGAAATCGAAACCAGAACCTTCGATCTCCAACCCGTGACCTCTACTACTGAGACAGCGTACAACGGTTTTCACGTTTAACTAAAGGTTTCCTATAGTGGTTTATGGTCGGTCGACTCATGATTTCACTGAGACTCAACAATACCACAACCCTATAATGACAGTTGCAATGGGCCCAATATTGGAAGGCTTCGTGAAGAACTTTTCTAAAGAGAAGCCGTGATCAATGGGTTCAATCTTGTCTTGCGTGGGACAATTACCAACTGAGGACAGTGGGTGATAGTTGAGCAATATCATGGATTCATTCACTTAAGACATCAACACCGTCAGGTTCTGGCACAGAGGTCGAAATGTACAAATGTCCTAGACGCGACATAGGATTCCAGATCGTGGAATCGCACTTCTGATGAGTTTCATGTTGAGATAAACTAGCCATCTAGTGCTCCTAGGTTTAGAATTATGGTCCAATATTCGTCAGTCCATGATTTCAATGGACATTATTAACCAGGAGAAATTCACTGGGGATCAAGGTAGCTGAATTTTTCTGAACACTTGCCCAAGACGTCAAGTAACTGGACTTCTTAATGTTTTTGATTCATTCTCCGTCGTATGTCTCATCTCCTGTTGATGGTTGCGAGTCCTCACGGACCTGTAGTAAGGACAAACCGGTATAAATTTGTTCCTAATTTTCCAGATGGCTCACAACTCTAGAAAATCTCCAATATGAAGAACACCTGAAAGTGAAAATATCAGGGACCATCATGCCGAGTAATCGTGAAGGATCATAAAACCTAACTGATCATACTAGTCTAAAAATTAGGTTAGTAGTCATAGTTCCAAATATATTCATTGTCTTTTCGAGTATAGTGCTTGAAAACACAATGAAGTTGATTAAAAACAGGGTCAACATTAAAAACGTTTTAAAATTAACACACGAGGGAAAGGCATCGTCAGTAAAAAACGTGCGAAGTCATCACCATCATGGCTTATAAAAATGGCGAACTCACAAACCCCGCCATAGAAGTAGATCAATGTGGGAATTTCAAAACTGATTTGTGTAGCGGGTTAATATCCTCAGACCGTTTACTTGCGGTTCAGGTTTCCAGATTGTTTTCATCTGAGATTCTTGCTATTGCTGATTGTTATCTGTCATTTTTATTGCGAAAAGTGACTACATTGTGGGCGCTTGCTAGGTCATCGACTGATTTTTCCAGCTCCACTTACTCGCTACCCTTGTACACGAAGCACCTAATAGGAGGACAACCGCTACACAAGCGAACAACTGCGCTAGATGATATTAGCTTAACATATCGGGCCACTAAATTTTAAAGTTTTGCACCCGCATATTGCTAATTATCTGTCCTTAAGGTTCGCTTATTTCTTCTATTGTCAAAGGTAAGTGTACAAAATGCGTTCGCTTTCTATTTTTTTTCATGCTAATTCGAAATGATAGTTGGAAATGATTGATAAATCCGTATAGCTAGGACCTAAACAAGTTTCTTAGCAGGATTCATCATACTTGGTTGTCATCAAACCCGATTAGCTTTCATCCAGATTTGCGGAGCCAGGATAGTCATTATATTCCATGTAATGCAGCGTTCCAAAAAATTACACAACCTGGTTACACTTATGGACATAGATAGGAACTAGAACGTTTTCCACGTCGAGACGATTATAGGGATTTAATAGATAGAAAGGGCTTTAAGTACACATGTTTTCTCGATTCCAAGTACCACTAAATTATTGATGGTTACCTCGCGGTGTTTGGTGGTGTAGGACTAGGTCGAAAGAGGTAGAAGCGACGAAACCAAAACTGGACATCAGTTCATAAAACAGTCCGTTATTAGGTTGATCCATTTAGATAGGTGCAAACTTCTTGATTGGTGTTCGTGTGATGATTATAATCAGTAAATAGAAATATAGTGAGTGACAGTTCAAAATTAGTGACAGTTTTCTAAATGCAGTTAATACTTTTCTCTTAGTTCTAAAGTTTTAAAATCATCTTGTGCTCTTTATCTCCAAAAGTCATTGTTTTTTGAGTAATTTTGTCTGTGTAGTTTTTCTTAGCTACTTATGTATGTGCTACGCAGCAGGTTTTCACGTGTTTGATAACTGTAAAAAGTTCGTATCTGTAAAAATATGTGTAAATTATAAGCTTAATTTACTTGTCCTAAATCTTATTCTTTGGTGATAATGTAAATACAGCTTAGTTTTGACAACACAGAACTTTTCCAGTTACCTCTTCCAGAGCTTTTCCATCAAGTGCGATTCGGTTGCTGCTGATGGTGTCGTATTTTAGGATCTTACCTTTTCCTCTGTAAACAATGAGTCCGATAGCTACATCACGCAGTCCAGATAACCTAGTTTACTCGAAATTGCACATTGTATTCTGTGCTTCTGAAATTTAGTCTTCATAATTGATTAATGACTGGGTGAAAAAGGGAGGATGAGAGTAAGACTTACCTGACGCAGGCATTCACTCGGAATACATCTGTAAGCGGGCCGTCACACAATACTTAATGGTATCAGTAAGTCAGTTACAACGTAGAACTTCGTACGTACGTACGTAAGTTCATGTTGCCGTACCATATTAGCACAGAGAAGCAATCGTCAGCTCAAATCCCATAGTGGTAGAAATAGTAGAAGATCAGGGTTCAAAAATATTATCCTAGAAGTATAATTCAGAGATAAATTTAAAGAAGAGAAATATGTGACGAGACATTCAGGAGATTGGAATTTCAGAAAACAGAAAGAGTGGATGCACCTGAACCACTGCAAACGATTTTAAGCCAAGTCTTTCAAAGTCGATAAACACCTCTTGGTAACGTCTGGCGAACCCCAACCAGTTAGTCTAAACCTACCAACATAACTTAGTCCACTTGTCAGTGCCTTCATGGATTTCTGCCATGTTTTGCTCTGGTCGCCCCCTAGCTTTCTTCCAACCTATCTCTACATCGCAGAACATAGCTCGACTAGGAAGTCGGTGGTTAGGCGTACGTAACACATGTCCCAACCATCTCAACTGATGAAGTTTCAGCACTTTATCTATTGATCTACCACCTTTACCTAGGACCCGTTTCCTAACGACAGCATTGCTCAATCGGCTGCTACAGTATATACGAGAGATGCTTCACATAAGCCTATCATTGAAAACCAGTAACCTACGAATATCTACTCTCACTGGCAATGCTTCACAGCCGTAAAGTAGAACGAAGCGGACTACTGCGCCTTTAGTCAGCAAACGGATATCTCGCCTACGCCATAAGTGACGTGAGTTGGCAAAAGCCAATCGAGCCTTCTGTATCCTTGCTGAGATTTCGTCAGTCACCAGGCCATCAGCACTGATAAGACTCCCCAGATAAGTGAAGCAGTCAACACGCTCAACTGCTTCACTCCCTCCCAGCGGATCAGGTGCCGACACAAGTCAATCTCGAAGCAACACTTTGCATTTCGACGGGTAGAATCGCATCCCGAACATGCTTGCACTGTTGCTTAGGGTAGTCAGGAGACAGCATTTTTTCGGCGTCTTCACCAAGTAGAAATATATGATCGGCATACTGTAAGACAGCAAGTGTGTCTCCTGGTAGAAGGTCTATTCCTGAAAAATCTAACGAGGACAAGGTTATATCTAGAAGAATGTCTACGACAAATTTAAACGAGAACGGAGAAAGTGGACATCCCTGAAGGACACCACTTGAAGTACAAATTTTCGATGACCGTTCTACATAAGCTCTAACTCAATTAGTGGTGTTCGAGTGGAGAGCTTTTATAAGGTCAGTGTATTTCTTTGATACACCTTTTAATGGCAGACACTGCCACAGAACCTCACGATCCACGGAGTCAAATGCCGCCTTAAGGTCCAGGAGGACAACTATTGTCGGACGCCTAAATGTGTCTGTGTTCCAGTACCTGTCGTAGTGTGAAAATGTGGTCTATACAGCCACGTCCAGATCGAAAAACAGCCTGGTTTTCTCTAGTCTGCTCTTCACGACCTCTAGTTAGGCGTCCAAGGATTATCGAGGCTAACAATCTAGATATTATATTAGTTAGAATGATTCCCCTGTGACTGTTACCAGGAGACTTTTGTCCTCTTTTATAAATTGGGACCATCAGGGATTGAGACCAGTCAGATGGCAACAGGAACAGAACGAATACTCAGAAATCCTTTCATTAAAAGGCCGTGCGTGACCAGCCTGAAGCAGTTGTCCCTTGGACTCAGCGGTCACGCACCCAGGTCGTTAAGACCAACACTAATCTATCTTCCTTTCCAGGTCCCTCAATAAACAACCTTCCACGGTGTGAGCAGCCGTGAGGTGACAACCGCCTTCATACTCGTAACAGTACACGAGATCAAATTGATTGATCGACCACTGTTCGCGATCATTTCGTAAACTTTTTGTCAGCTTGTGCTTCAGTTAACTCCGGTCCTCATTGAACTTAGCCAGGCATTCCCTGTGGTAAATATTTCGAAAGAAATCACTCAAAGCATCTGACGTTGATATTCTGAGAAATAAGGAAAAACAGTAAAAATGCTCAGAAGAATATGAAGTTAATTTATCACTGTCTGTCGAAATAATCTACGTCAATAGTTGCAGTATTACGAAGAATCGTCTCTTTACTGCCTGTCGGTAACTTTTTGTACATCAATAAACTTTCACACAAGCGGCTACCTCAAATCCATCATAACTAATTATCTTCTCTATCAGTTAGTTCCCTCTATTTCTTCTTTTGCGTTTAGGATCATGTATCATAATGCAGCTGACAACCAATGATTATCTTTAATTTGAACAAGAAGCATGACACACACAGTTTGTACTCATCTGAAACCCTCACTGTCTGTTCGGACTCGGGCTTTAACTAGTAAATCTCACACTAGATTATCCAGTAAACAGTCTGTATTATCTGATTCTCTAAATCTGCGGTTGCGTCATCAAAACAAGAATGTAGAAAGAAAAAACCACTACAGACATCGTCAAATTTTTTTAAACAGGGATGAATGTTTACCTAAGCCCAAATCACCTATAGAAGACAGTCTTAATGAGCAATCTGTGATCAATTCGGTTCAAGATACCTCTTCTGTTTCATCTGCATCCTGTGACCCCAATGGTGTTCCCTCCATTTGTAAGTGGAAGGGTTGTAAATGTGTTGACATTGAAAGGACTCAGTTAGTTAATCACATCCAGCAAACCCATGTCGTCCCACAATTATCCAGTCGTCGGAAATATTTTAGTTGTTTGTGGCAGGATTGTCGGGTGTTTGGAAGACCTAGTGTTTCGGCTGCATGGTTGGAACAACATATACTTCATCATACGGATGCCAAAGGGAAACCTTTTAGATGCATTTTTGACGCATGCACATTGCGATTTTCTACTTCCACATTGTTAGAACGTCATGTTCAGCGGACACATATGCGCACAAATCGGATTAGTAGTGATTCCTTATCCAAAATATCATCGACTGACAAGAATACACTTTGTCAGCCACATCCGAAAGAAATAGCTACTTTACAGAACTCAATAAAGAAATCTGCTTCACTGTCTATGAAAAAGAATCTGCGCAGACGTAAGAAACCGAGAACTTACCGAGGTAAGTCTATAAATGGAAACTTGTTAAATGAATTGGTTTTATTGTAATTTTAATGATATTTTCTTAAAAATATTGATAATACACTAATGCTTCTGTGAGTCACTGAAAGTACGTTAAACGGTAATACTGCAGACCCCAGTAATTTGTTTGTTTATTTCACTGGGATATACTCGAATCATATTTACGATCTTTTATCTTTTCCAATACCACTAATTCTGCTACGACCTCAACCACTATGTGGTTTGAATTGACCATTCGATCTTCCTGTGTCAATGTGGTGTACGTACGCACGAGGCTCTACGTTGGTGCTGACTGACTGACCTAAGTAAAGGAAGTCTTTTCCGGACCAATGATATGTATTCATCCTTCAGGACGATTTCTCGGTGGCTTGCTGTTACTCCTTCGACACCGACTTCTATGCTTCTGACTAGCTGTATAGATCAGGCAATCCAGTTGTATGTTCGAGTTAGAAGGTTCATCGTCTGAATTTTGTCGACCATTTCGAATATGATTACATTTCCCAATGGACTTTCCTCTTAAACACCAATCCTGTCCATCACGTCACTAACTCTTTTTACGATGTCACCTGCTAATCACACGGGCTCCCACTGACCATTCGACTGGTGGTGGCAGGGTGGCAAGTGAATGTGTAACTGGATTTTTTAGGCAGGAGTTCGAGATTTCCATTGTCTGTGACTAATGTTTCCGAAGATCTGAATTGACCGCAAAGTTTATTCAGCACTGCATTTGTGGGCATTTATTTACCGTACTTTCTAAGTCCTTATCCATCAGCGGCCAATATATATAGCTACGTGCTAGTGACTCTATGCACCGCACACCAGGATGACTCAAGTGGAGTTGTTTCAATACACGGCTTCTGAGGATGGCTGGAACAACCAGGCGTTCTCCAAACACCAGACGTGATTCGGTAATAGACAATGAGTCACGTGGTTAGAGATACTCTATCAAATAATTATCGACTTTATTTGGCCACTCGTCATGTACAAATTTCACGACTTACTGGAGCTCAAGATCCAGTAGCGTGGCATTCTGGACTACTCTCACCGTTACTAGCGAGGTATGGATTGCATCTGACACAACTCGGCTAGCTTCTGTTTAAGCTTATTCTGCCACAACGACGCAATCCTCGTCGATTGGTCGGTTTGAGTCGATTAGTTTCGATAACGTATCAACCTGTCTCAGACTGATCGTCGACATGTATCTGATGATGAGATCATAACCAAGAAGACACATAGCCCCCCGCTGCAAGTGGCTGTGGTGCCTTTATTTGAACCGAATATTAGTAGAAGGGGGCTTATAGTCTGTTCATAGAGTGAAACGTCGACCGTGAATCATCTTATAAAACGTTTTGAGTGCAAAGATAATTGCCAGTGCTTCTTTCCTCATTTGATCATAATTATTTTCGAAAAAGGATAGCGTTCTCAATGCATGTGCAATAGCCTTCTGGGAAATGTGTGCGATAACATCTCTGGGTCCTTGATTCGATGCGTCTGAAGCAATGATTATTCCGAGGTTAGGGTTGAAATGTGTTAGCAGCATATTAGATGACAACATTTTCCTCACAGTTTGAAGGTTCTTTTGACAGTTAGGTGACAACCCCGCCAAACACAATAATATCAGCCGGAGCTGACTTCATTCTAAGTGGAGGGCGAGTGTAGTGATGAAGGCCTCGTTGTGCATTAGTAGTAATCAATTCTCTGGATCCATCCTCTACTTCCATCGGTAGATATGCATCAGCTAGACCAATCTTTGCAGAGTCAATTGTGCAAAAAGATCATCTGGTGTGTTTCCAGGGGATTGTTCAGTCCAGTCAAAAAATCAGCACATTCGGTTTGAGCCACTCAATTTCTCTACTACCACAATTGGTGCTGCCCATGAAAAACAATAAATTAGTTCGGGAACACCTGACGCTTTTGATCTGTCTAGTTCTTTGTCTACTAGAGAAAGTGCTACATATGACATTGAGCGTTTCGGTCGAAAGATATGCTTTGCATCTGGCTTTTACTTTGGTGCAGCAACCAAGATCATCTTGAAAAATACTGGGAAACTTCTGCTTTCGTCTGTCGATCATACAAATATTGTTGGAGACTTGAATAGAATACTTGGTTACAAATGAGATTGAATGGTTGATCGAACGTTTTAAAATCTTTAATCCGGTGGAGATCCAATAAATTGAGAGATTTGTCTATAACACAGCGTGTGGACTTGATAATTCCAGAAATCTTAATCGGAATGATCTATTTATTCCTTATGAAATCAGTAGTAAGATGAAGCTTGGCCGATCGAGTTCGTGCAAAGTTTTTCAATAAATCAGAGTAACGTCAGAAGCAGTATCCAATTGTTATTTGGCAGTGTGATCATTAACGTTAGTTAACACGTATTTGCGTGAGCCTTTGTGGTTAGGATTCGATAAGGCATGTGTGCACAGTCGATGTTTTTCGACATTCGATATGATGAGGGTTTGTGGTCAGTTACTCCACAGTTTGCGCATTTGTGACTACTGAGTGGACAGAAACGAGTGAAACGTCATGCCTCGCAGTCCCAGTAATCATTGGGAGGCCTTGGATAATGACGTACGTTGTGGACATAAGACAGTCGATTTAGGCGGGAGCATTCTCGTGAGTCATGCATTAGGACGTTATAAATCCGATTTGAGAGAGAAGTTTTCATGTAATCATATGATGAGAGGTTAAAAGAACAAGGTATTTGACTAGAATTCGAACATTCTATCATCTTAGTGTCATTTTTAGGATTAATACTTTGACGACTTTCATTTGTAATACCTTCCATTGTAAGATTAAGTTCTTCTGATTCTACTCTGCTCAAAATTCTAGTACGAATATCTAGATTTGATGACGATTGCAACCCGCACACAAAACAAGACACTTAATTTCTTAGTCTGACAGTGAGCGTAGCTTAAAGTTTTCTCACTGACAATTATATCTCATGGTAAAGAAAGAGGACTGGGTAGTAAAAATTTCTGCTAATTTTCGTACAGTAGTATCGAAAGGAAAGTCGGCTTTTTTGGCAAGGTAAGATTTGAACACTTTTCAGCTTCGGCTACTACTTCTGAAAAGTCATTATAATAGGAAAAATCAACGTGGAAAATATCTTTGTATCTCTTGAACCAAGATTCAAATATGACACCCGCATCAGGGTCGAAGTGCAACTCACTGGTCGAATTTGTCAGTGATTCGGCAGTTGAGCCCCTTATCTCGAACATTTGGACTGACTTTGCTTGAGGCGAAAGCTTTTATGTCGTCATTTCGATCATTTTCAACTGAGATGCTCGGAATTATATATATATATATATTCAACCTTGGAGAAGGAAGCCATTTCTGAACCACTGGTAGTTAGTTATTCGTCTTTTAGAGCATTTGCTTATAATCATCAAGTGTCCTTCTCATTAGGCCACTTCTGATTTGCCCATTATATCATGCATCCTGTGCAGATTGCTTCGTTATCGCTATCAAGTCAAAATTATCATTAACGGAGATTGGTGGCGGTGGTCAGCGAAATCCAGGACGCGCGTCTCATTCCATATAGGACTCGTCAACTGTTTACCTGTCTCCCAGGTTTGATATTCACTCCGAGACTCGAGCGGATTGAGTAGCTAACTGACTGAGTCCCGTAGTGAACATCAACATTAGGATGCAAGTACATCCAGCTAATGTTTCCCAAAAAGGACGAAACGCCTATCCTGGATTCTACTGTTGGCCACCATCCATCTCTCCTCATATCTTTCTCATTTAAGACTCCTAAACATCTTTACACTATTGAAGATGGCGATAGCAGTTCATACCAATGAAAGATAGTAATGGACTTCAGACAATACGGCCTTCAAGAAACTACTTATCGACTGTTATTTACTGTTTTAGATCATGTCAAAATGAATATTATCCGACCTAATAATACTCCATGTTTTCTTTTCCAACGTATGGCAGTCTGTATGGTAAGTTATCGCCAGTTTATGTGCCTCATAAGTGATTTAAATCTCTGAACGAATCCCGAATTCATTCCGGCTCTCCTTTGTAAACAGTGTAATAAGTGCGGTAATAATATTTCCGGTATTGAGATAAGTTCTGTTTATTGCATTTGACCAATTTTTACTGGTTTCTGCACAAACCATTTAATATGTTCATGTTTTAACATCCCATATTTTGTGTTATAGTTCGTCGCTTGGATTTTTATGATTATAGAAGTCAAATACTAGTTAAAAACCAGTTAAAGATTTCATATCTTCTGAATAAGGAGCTCACAACAAAATATAAACACGAACGATCTCGCATCTTACCACTCGATTTTTGCAAATTACCTTCAAAAATTTATGAAAAACCTGCAAATCCGCGTGTACGTCCGAGTGTTAATCCATCAAACATCATGGTTAAGGAATCAGCCCTCCCATCATTGTTAAGGAATACAAAAGATATTCATCAGCACATATCATTGCTGTTAACAACTCCTCATACGGTAAGTCCAATTGCATTTGGGAGATTTATAATGTGTATTGTCACTCATATATTACTGCAGTATACGATAGAAATAAGGATCACACTTATTATAGGTAGTACGATTTAGTGTTTTCAAAATGAAGACAATAAGTATATAAACCTCTTGCTGACTTTATTCTACTGACTTTAATTTGTCTCCAAATTTATCTTCTCTACGCTGTAGATGTAGATATATTTTAGACTAATTTTTTCAAAAACAATGCAAAAATATGAATGGATCGTTTTTACTGTGAAATGCTAAGTTCGCAGGATAGTTCCGATAAAGTATAGAACGTTTATTCTTTTAGGATTTCTGTTATGTGAATTAATGGTCCTTCTCGAAATTCAAATAATATAGCTAGTATTTAGTACTCGTAAGTTTATCACATACGTTGCACCTTTTTGATTACTTCCAGAATAGAAAGATCTGCAACTTGATGTAATCTCCGACTGTTTATGAAGTTGAAAAGGCTATAGGAAATCTAGGACGAGGGAGAGCAGTGGGCCCTGCTAGAATGACCCGCTGAGATTTTTTAAGATGGTAGTCCAGTTTTAGCGGTTAGATTAATTTAGATCTTCGGTAGAACTCGCGAACTGATTGTAATCCTGTCTGAGTGGTCTCAATCACTGAACAAGTCCTCCTGTGACAATCACAGGAGAATCAGTGTATCTGAAGCGTTCAAAATAGTGGCTTCAAATAATATTCCGACGCCTCGCTAGGGCTCTTGAAGAGTAGACTCAAGAAAAGCGGGCTGGTTTCCGACCTGGACATGGCTGTTTAGACCAGATAGCCACGATACAACAGGTCCTAGAACACAGACACGCATTTAGGCGTCCCACAGTCGTTGTTTTCTGGCAGTAGTGTCTTTCATTAGAAGACGTACCAAAGAAATTCATTAATCTTATACGGCCTCATTACTCGAACACTACTAATTTAGCTAGACCTTAGGGCAAAATGTCATCAAAATCGATTACTTCAAGTGGTGTCCGTCAGGGCTGGCCACTTTCTTCGTCCTTGTTAACCTTTTTCATTGACGTGCTTTTAGTTACGACACTTTTATCCTCTGGGTTTTAGGAAGTTGAACTTTTACCAGGAGATTCGTTTGTTGCCTTGAAATATACCGAATATTGCCTTAAACTGTGGTATCGAGCTATAACGATCCAGTGACTGGACAGTTAGCTTTTATGAAGTCACACCCGGGAAGCGATAAATAATGTAATAACGTAGACATTTGCCACATGTCATAATTGTAGATTTTTTGCATGCAGTGTGCACATACTGTATATTGATGTCAGTTCTTTAAGAACAGTTAGATAACTGCAACGTCATTCAGAAAGAAATGCCGTGATACCTTTAGATTCGTCCTTGTACAAGTAATGCTTATGTTAATGACATATTCGCCCGACAGTAGCTGCTACATTGACGTGGTGGTCGGCCTTGCCTATCATATATTTCAGGAGCAACTAGAGAAAGACAAGCGACCATGTAAGTGATTCTCATATGGAGGCAGCTTGTAATGATATTCAAAAGGCTGTGGAAACAGCAGTGATATTTGTTAGTATTGTAAACCATATGATTTCGGAGAAGAAGTGGATTTCTGTAGCAACTACCGAACTGACAGACACTCGAAAGCTCATCCCGCCTGGCTCTGAGTGCAATGAGGAGCGCAGTCAGCTTAGGCGCAAGGTGGTAAAAAGTCTACGAAATGATCGCAAACAGTGGTGGGTAGCAAAAGCGAGAGAGATGGAAAAGGCAACGGTGGCAGGCAACAGTAGATTACTTATGAAACTCATCAAGGAAACTGGTATTAGGAATCCCAATGTGAGTGAGACTATCCCTCAAAAGGATGATGGTCTAATTATTCATTCTCAATCCAGGAGACTGGATCGATGGGAAGAACACTTTAGGGATCAGTTCAACTGACCTCGAGCCACACTTCGGTTGCCCGTGATCCCCAGTCATCCTGAATGGCAAATCGATTTAAGTCCTCCCATTCTACATGAAGTTGAGAAAGCTATATTAAATCTAAAGCGAAGTAGAGTAGCAGGTCCTGATAGGCTTACCCCTGAGATGTTTAAGGATGGTGTTCCAGTTTTAACAGTTAGACTGACCGATATCCTAGGTAGAATCTGGGAACTGGATGTAATCCCATCTGACTGGTGTAAATCGCTAATTGTCCCAGTCTACAAGAAAGGACAAAAGTCTCCTGGTGACAGTCACAGGGGAATCATTCTAACTAATATAATATCTAGATTGTTAGCCTCGATAATCCTTGGACGCCTAACTAGAGGTCGTGAAGAGCAGACTAGAGAAAACCAGGCTGTTTTTCGATCTGGACGTGGCTTATAGACCACATTTTCACACTACGACAGGTACTGGAACACAGACACATTTAGGCGTCCGACAATAGTTGTCCTCCTGGACCTTAAGGCGGCATTTGACTCCGTCGATCGTGAGGTTCTGTGGCAGTGTCTGCCATTAAAAGGTGTATCAAAGAAATACACTGACCTTATAAAAGCTCTCTACTCGAACACCACTAATTGAGTTAGAGCTTATGTAGAACGGTCATCGAAAATTTGTACTTCAAGTGGTGTCCTTCAGGGATGTCCACTTTCTCCGTTCTCGATTAAATTTGTCGTAGACATTCTTCTAGATATAACATTGTCCTCGTCAGACTTTTCAGGAATAGACCTTCTACCAGGAGACACACTTGCTGTCTTACAGTATGCCGATCATATATTTCTACTTGGTGAAGACGCCGAAAAAATGCTGTCTCCTGACTACCCTAAGCAACAGTGCAAGCATGTTCGGGATGCGATTCTACCCGTCGAAATGCAAAGTGTTGCTTCGAGATTGACTTGTGTCGGCACCTGATCCGCTGGGAGGGAGTGAAGCAGTTGAGCGTGTTGACTGCTTCACTTATCTGGGGAGTCTTATCAGTGCTGATGGCCTGGTGACTGACGAAATCTCAGCAAGGATACAGAAGGCTCGATTGGCTTTTGCCAACTCACGTCACTTATGGCTCAGGCGAGATATCCGCTTTCTGAACAAAGGACGAGTTTGTTGTGCAGCAGTTCGCTCCGTCGTGATATATAGATGCGAAACATGGCCGGTAAGAGTAGAAGATATTAGTAGGTTACCGGTTTTCAATGATAGGCTTATGTGAAGCATCTCTCGTGTATCCCGGGGCAACCGAGTATGCAATGCTGTCGTTAGGAAACGGGTCCTAGGTAAAGGTGGTAGATCAATAGATAAAGTGCTGAAACTTCATCAGTTGAGATGGTTGGGACATGTGTTACGTATGCCTAACCACCGACTGCCTTGTCGAGCTATGTTCTGGGATGTAGGAACAGGTTGGTGCGGTCAAGCACAAATAGGGTAGTAATCCATGAAGTCACTGACAAGTGGACCTAGTTACGTCGGTAGGTGTCGACTACCTTGTTTAGATCCGCGTAATGATAATAATCGATGGTTAGAGATCGTGAATCACATGGTTGAAGACTGTTTGCAATGGCGTAGATACATTCATTTTTTGTATTCTTTCAAATCGTATCCTGAATTCCCCATCGTTTTTACCTTTTTCTTCCTACGTTTATTTTACTAGTCGCTACTCCTTGAATAATATCTTCTAATCCTAACCTCTCCGATTACTTATAATACCTTTACTACCTCTACTACTATTTGATTTGAATTGACAATTATATCACTGTGCTAATGTGGTATGGCAACTTGAACTGATGTACGTACGTACGTACGAAGTTCTACGTTGCTATTTATTGATTGAACGACAAATTTGGATCTATTTATGGTTTCGAGGTTTTGTTTACGTGTTTAAATAAACTTTAGTGAGCAATTAGGTTTATTTTCAGTAGATTGTAAAAATTGGTGGGTTTCATCAAAACTTTGAACCGATATCGTCAGTTTATCATTTCGTGTTGAAATTTGCAACAATGCACGTTCACAATCGCGCGTACAGGAATAAAATGTAGTGGGGTTAAGCCGTGTCCAACAGAAATAATCAAAGATGCTCGCGCGATTTCGAAGATTTGTTAAGGTTGGACATCAACACTGTTGCATACTGGTTTAGACGTTAAATGTTTGCATGCGAGATTAGGTCCTGGGTTCGACCCCCACCCGCTTGGTCGTGGATGTGCATTGTTAAACCATTCAATGTTGACCTAACATTGATCCCTTTATTATTTCAATGAAATTAAGCTTATTGCCTGTACAAAAGTACTCACTGATATGAGGACTATGAATAATAACTGCCTTCTATCTGCGCTTTTTATGATTCTTAGTTCGTTGGTCAACGTGTTTCTCTGGATCATCGATCTGAATTTCTCGTGCGTTGGATTGGCGGGTGTGGACATAGGTAAACTCTTTGCATGGATTTATAAATTTGTTCTCGTTAATCATAAGATGTTACAAGCATGTGAAAAACCTACTTAAACTCAATAATTTGTACCTGGAGGTACTTAATGATATGCTAATGTGCATATGACTCAACAAAGACTAATGTTGAGTCAAAGCCGAGATAATATTAACTCCATTTGATCTAAAACGTACGCCATTCTGATATCCTTGCTTCCTATCTGATGAGAGATAGAAGCCAAGCGTATATGTATTTCAGGTACCCCAGTGTTTCTAACTGAAACGCGTATTAGTTTATAGTACGTGAGTAAGAAAGCATTTTTCTACCCACAAAGTATGGAGCGAACGGTACAGAATTAACACTAATTAAAAAGTATAACAGTGGTTGATAGGAGCTCACGGAACAGGGAACATAGAAATACAATATTCAGATCATCTACCAATTACAACAGTAACACTAATTTCTATTTCTTGTGTGTTGCTCTGTAGCTTCAAACCACTTATTTCATATTCAATTTTTTTCCAGTGTTGTCCCGCCCACATGGATATTCGAAGAGGAACTTAATATGGCAGCTCATCTGGAAAGCATTTTGTGAAATGTGCAATAATGCTATCTCGGTTCATGCCACAGCAACCCGAATTTTTTCAGACAGCTTTCTGCTGATTGTGGCATTTTGCTTTTAGTCCCAACAGATGAACAGCAATATACGGGCTTTCGATTTTCTGTTGCGCTTATCATCTAATATATTGCGCTCAGCTGTGAAAACTGTTTATATCATTTTAATCAACTTACTTTATCAGTTCTTCTTTGCTAGTGTTTGTTTACTTATTTACCTTTCATCAGTTTTCATGTTCGTATAGCTTACCTACCTACTAACTTAATTGTTTATATTTACGATCATGTGTAATGCATTTTATGCCTTTGCTCAATCTAGGTGACATAAACGTATTTATTATGATGTTAGGATTTTCCAATTGTAGGCATTCTTTAGAATATATGTGATGTAGTTCATTAATCCTGTGCTTAATTTCGGTTACCGAAGGTTTAGTCAGACCAAGATTTGTAAAATGTGTACTCTAAACACAGCAGTACTTCATGTGTCTACTATCTCACTTTTTTTTTTCAAGATCATAGAAACTAGGCATCGATTTATGTTTTATGAGAATGTTCTTTACGTCATTCGTATCACTGAACCTCAAATACTGAAAAACCTATCTCATTTATTAGGTGACAGATTAATCTAACAGGTAGTTGTATCCCGAATTCTTGAACTGTAAACTTAAATAAATCCCGAACGCGGACATTTCATATAAGTGACTACAGTTAATCTTGCGGATTTTACATATGATTTTGGTGCTGTCATCAACAATAAAATTGGATCGTACAAAAGATAACCCATTTCTTTATTGCACTAGTAGCTGCTATTCCAGAGAACTGTCTGAAAATGTCCTGGATTGTAAGTAGCACCAAGTTCCCCGACCGTAGCTGCCACTCTTTTACTCCCTAAATACACCTAGGTCCCTAGCAGGAGGTATCGATGACCCACATCTGCTAGAGGAGAAAGCCGATGACCATGCTCTTTTTTATTCACTCCGCAACTATTTGAACCATTTACACATTCTTTAGCTAATAAAACAGACGGTTTGAAACGTTTAAACAGGAACTATGGGAATTATTCCAAGCTTTCACACAGACTGTTCAAAACACGATAATTAAAGCCGGGACAAACAAATTGCAATTTGCGGGACTGACTGACACCGGTGAGTACTTATTTGGTTCGCATCTATGATCCCCCTGGAAATTCTTCTACGAGCATTTGAAAACAATATTCTTTTCCCACAAAAATAAGTTTAAATAGTAGCGCTGAACTTTTTTTTACAACGAATAGCCCTAGAACTCTCTTAAGACGTTTCCTCTCTTCTTCACTGTCTACTTTTCTCATCTACTTACGCTAGACCCATTCACAAATATCTTATCTTAGCCAAAATTTCTCCTACTTTGCTTTTATTTGAACCACAAGACATGTATCAATCGACTAGATTTGAAGATCGAGTCGCAAAACCGGCCGAATCGAATCTGGAACTGTACCGAAAGCACTGGAATCAAACGCTAGGAAGTCAGTTGGTTTATGCTAGCTCGTGAAAAAGATATTGTATATTAGGTTAGATACTGGAGAACTGGTTAAATACATGATTATATATAAAATGAAGTCCTTGTTTAATAGTTGTTTAATATCAGGCAGGTTCCCGTCATCTTTTCAATGTAAGTACGGTTTCATAAAACCTACAATGAGTTACGGGAAATGTTGGTTGGATTTAAATTCTCACAGGCTTATACAGGCCCTTCATTGATTTTGAATGGACTTGTCATGCATGCTGAAGTATAGTCTTTTCCCAGCAGCACTTTAATTTTTGTTGAACAGCTTCATCCGGTAACATACTATTAACTACATGTAAAATAATACTAGGATTTTATATTGGATAAGTACTAAGCAGACAATTGGATTTTCGCAAAAAGATGAGCTTAAACTTATTTTTGTACGTTATGTTCAAAATTATCTCAGTGAGTAAAAATTAAATGATCCCGAATTTCCGCTTGACAAACTTGTCTGAACTTTTTCATGATAATTATTAAATCTAAACTAAATGCTTATTCTATCATATTCAGATGTTTGCTTTAGTGAGTAGGATAACATGACTCAGTAAGGTGTGAATGGAAAAGTACACGATGTAAATTATAATGAAGTTGTACATTAATGGTTGTTATTAGGTGAGTAAATGTTCGTAATTTGTTTATTAAGCAGAAAAGAAAGTACAAATCAAACTTTTAAATTGTATCTGTATATGTAAAATGGGAATCACCAACTAAACTATATCTCTGGTAGTTATGGTTTAAATATTATCTTGATGGAAACTCGACAAGCTTGCCTGGTGAAATACTGAAATTATTGGATTTTCAATCGCTGATATTATCTTGAGCATAATTTTTTTCCCCGAACGTAGCTGCTAGCTTGACGTGGTGGTCGGGTTTGCCTATCGCGATGACCCAACTGAGCTATATTGGCCGGAACACATGTTCCTGAAGGTTCTACCATGCCAGGCATGTCGATTCGAGAATGATGAAACTAGAATCAACTACTCAAGGTCTGAGGACGAAGTCGTACTGCTGACTGCAGAGGGGTGGGTGTGACAGCAGTAAGTCGTTTCCGACAGACAACCAGCATCTGCAGCGATGCTGCCTTCTCACAAGGAACGGAGGGTTAGAAAATGTCGACCCTAAAAATGTCACAACTCACCCTACCTCACAGATTTCCGTCTCCGGCGGTAAGGGTGCGCACTAAGGGCTCTTAAAAGCGGAGCCAATAGTCGAGAAACCTCTCATAAAAATGCCATGCGTGACCGGCCTCAAGCAGTTGACCTTAGGGCTCTGCGGTCACGCTCCCCGGTCGTTAAGACCGACACTAAACTACCTTCCTTTTCAAGCTCCTCAAGAAGCACCCTTCCACGGTGTGGACAGCTGGAAAATGACATCCACCCTCATACCCGTACCATCTCACGAGACCGAATTGGCCAAAATCAAATCCTTCCTACACCCCCTAACATCTCTCTTATCTCCACAACTAACTCTTCCCACACTACTTTGTCACTCCGCAACGCTAATGAAAACGGTTGGAGTTCCCGAAACAATATTCCTAGTCTCCTGAAACCTCGTTCTAGACTCCATGTTGGATCTTTTAATGTCCGGACATTGTGACAAATGGGACAACAGGCTTCCTTAGCTATGACTCTGGAATCCCGTGCCATCGATGTATGCTGCGTCTCCGAAACGCGCATACAAGATCCGAGTAAAGTCATCAATTTGATTTCAACTAGTGCACATAGAGAAACAACAAGCTTCGTGTTTCTGGTAGCCGTGATGCTGCTTCCCGTGGCCTCGCTGGCGCAGGTGTAGTATTAGGTCGTATGGTAAAACTAGCTCCCTTAGACTGGATCCCGGTACACAGTCGCTTGTTCGCTGTCGGACTAAACGGGACGGTATGGACTCGTAAAGATAGGAACACTAGCCGTTGCCTCTTCGTCATATCTACCATCAACACCCACTGACTGCAGTTCAAACGAGGTGAAAGATGAGTTCTACAGAAAGCTTTCGGACCTCTTACAAAATGTTAGGCACTCTGATATTGTTATAATGGCCAGTGACTTCAATGCTCAGGTAGGTAGACTAAGTGAAAATGAAAGACACCTAAGTGGATGTTATGGTGTCGCGGCTCAGAGAACAGACAATGGCGACCGTCTGTTGCAACTGTGCTCAGATAATCAACTATTTCTCGCAAACACTAACTTTAAGCAAAAGGAAAAAACATCTTTTTCCTGGCGACCCCTAAAGTCGTCACAACACTGGACCTCACTAGAGCACATCGCTACCAGCCACCGATGGGGGGGTTCGATAGAGGACTGTCGCTCGTTGTGGGGCACATGTCTAGATTCAGATCATGCCCTAGTGCGAGCGCGTATTTGTCAAACTTCTTGCTGCCAGTTGTTCAGATGAGTTGAAAGAGCTGACATTTCATAAATGTAGCTGCTGCTTTCAGCTCGTAAGTACGCTCCAACCGCCAGGCTTCTCGATCCTTACGCAAACCTTGCACAATTTCATTACATGACAATATGCGTTTGTCAAACTCGCGACTACCCGGAGAAGAGCCAGTCAGCGAATTATAAGCAGTCTGCACAAAACCATTGTTTACAAGCGGAGTGTTACGCAAAGCAGCAAGTGACTTTACTCGTTATTTTTATGGGGTTACTTAAATGCAACCAGTTCTCATCTGTACTTTTCGGTATGTTAATAATTAGCCTTAAAACTGGCTCGGTTCGTTATTTACTTGTGGCGGAAGCTTCAGCCAATTTACTGATATCGGTTGGCTTATAATGACTAGTTTGTTGACCACTGAAACGTAAGGTAGGATTAGCGCAAGATGATAGTAATCGATGGTTAGAGACCCTGAATAACATGGCTCAAAACTGTTTGCATTGGCGCAGGTGCATTCGTTCTTTGTGTTCTCTTGAATCCTAACCTGCAGAGTTCCTCATCACCTCTATTTTTCTCTGTTTATGTTTACTCCTCTGGATTTTACTTTTTGAATAATACCTTCGAACCCTAATCTGTCCGGCTATTCCTAATACTTTTACTATCTCTACTATGGGCTTCGAAGTGACAATTGTATCTCTGTGCTGATGTGGTATGGCAACATGAACGGCTGTACTTACGTACAAACGTCTACGTTATAACTGACTGACTGACCATGTATACGCGTTTTGGAGAAGCAGCAAACGTCGATGACGTGAGATCTTTGAGTCCTTGCTAAGAAAGCTTGTTTTTATACTTGTCACATGGTTGAGACATTAAAAACCCCACTGAACTCATCGACTATCGAAGCAGAACACAGATTTCTGTGGGTGTTACCTCACAAACAATCGAAGAAATTAGGGCGATCGTCAGACAAATTGAGATGCCATGCGTGACCGGCCTCAAGCAGTTGACCTTAGGGCTCTGCGGTCACGCTCCCCGGTCGTTAAGACCGACACTAAACTACCTTCCTTTTCAAGCTCCTCAAGAAGCACCCTTCCACGGTGTGGACAGCTGGAAAATGACATCCACCCTCATACCCGTACCATCTCACGAGACCGAATTGGCCAAAATCAAATCCTTCCTACACCCCCTAACATCTCTCTTATCTCCACAACTAACTCTTCCCACACTACTTTGTCACTCCGCAACGCTAATGAAAACGGTTGGAGTTCCCGAAACAATATTCCTAGTCTCCTGAAACCTCGTTCTAGACTCCATGTTGGATCTTTTAATGTCCGGACATTGTGACAAATGGGACAACAGGCTTCCTTAGCTATGACTCTGGAATCCCGTGCCATCGATGTATGCTGCGTCTCCGAAACGCGCATACAAGATCCGAGTAAAGTCATCAATTTGATTTCAACTAGTGCACATAGAGAAACAACAAGCTTCGTGTTTCTGGTAGCCGTGATGCTGCTTCCCGTGGCCTCGCTGGCGCAGGTGTAGTATTAGGTCGTATGGTAAAACCAGCTCCCTTAGACTGGATCCCGGTACACAGTCGCTTGTTCGCTGTCGGACTAAACGGGACGGTATGGATTCGTAAAGATAGGGACATTCTCTGTTGCCGCTTCGTATTTGTTTGCTACTTACTGGACGCAGGACAGACTGCAAGGAAACATGTTAGGGTTCTACTTAATCATAGCATAGCTAAGGATATGTTTCAGGAGCAACTAGAAAGTCAGGCGATAAATTTAGGAAGTCGTGGATCTCAGTAGCGATTACCGAACTGATAAACACTTGGAATTCATCCCGCCTGGCTGTGAACGTTATTTTCCATCCTTAAATAGTGCCGGTTTTCTAACGACAACATTGCCCCGGATACACGAGAAATGCTTCACATAAGCCTATCGTCGAAAACCAGTAACAATTAGGCAATTAGGCATTGTAGTATACATAGAAATAAGGACTATTTGTAAAAGCTCAAAACACGGAAAACCCACAGACAGTATTAATATTAAAAGTAAGTTTTTTATTTTATATGAACTGGATCTGCTGTATAAACTAGCGTGAACCTTGTAATCATTTCAGAAATATACATGACTACAAATTTTTGGGAATTTAAAAATAAAGTACTGGTACCTATTTAAATGACAGCTGAATGGTACTATGATCTCATTGAAAAGTGTTCAGTAATATACGTTGTTTGTACACGACTACTAAGGATGTGTAGAATAATTTGCTCATTCGCCAAAACACTGAAAAAACCTTAAAGTTACAGCGTCACCTTATGAATCAGCTGTAATCTTACATTTTAGTAGTACATTATTCCAGTCAACAGTGGGAAGACTGGTAGTAATAAAGTACTTATGTGGGAAGTGTTATTAAGTGGATTAAAATTTTTTTAAAAAGAGAAAAGAGTGATAATTATTTAGGAATCTCATCAAATTATAGGAATTTTCTAACAAGTTTGAAGTCTGCGATAAATTAAGGAATGGAATATACTCCAATAGGCAATCAGGAAAGTGGTAAGAAAAATCCAAGAATAGTCGCAAATCTTACTTGTTAGGAAGCAATCATTAATTTGAAGGATACTATTAACTGAAGCTCAAATACAAATCCAACTACACAAACACCCGTTCATAACATTATTCAAGAAGCAGTGCTGAATTGTGGTGATTCGACAGTTACAAAACCTAACTGCCTAGATTCAAAACTAAGTACACAAACTTAGGTACGACTTCAACCTAACTGTATCACGTTGTATTTTTCACACTTCAATTATTGCAGACAGGTGTCATACAAAAAAGATGGAGAGTTTTGACCATACCGCAACGTCACAATATAAAAGTAAATGAACTTGATGGTAAAGTGCAAATAACTCATGAAAATTTTAAAAACCATATATAGTAATGATAAAATCAGATGCCATCTGTTATTTTAAGCACCGTACAACCAGACCTAAATTTAAGTTATTTTATCTATCTACTAGTTGCAATTTCTTTACTTTCCCGTTCCAGTCAGTCAATAACAAGGTCAAACTTCAAGTTGCCACACCACAGCGAGATCGAAAGGTCAATTCAAGTTCCATAGTAGTTGAGGTTGTAGCAGTATTAGCGGTAGTGGAAAAGATTAAGGATCGAAAATATGACTCTGGAATTACATCTCAGTGAAATAAATTTAAAAAGACAAAATATGGTAAAGAATTCATAAGATTATAATTTGAGATAAGACAAAGAATGGATGCACCTGCGCCATCGCAAACGATTTTGAGCCATGTAGTTCGTCTATAAACATCCATAACTATGGTCTCGCGGACCCCAACCAGTTAGACTGAACCTACTAACATGATTCAGTCCACTTGTCAGCGACTTCATGGATTTGTACCAGGTTTTGGTTTGGCCGCACATAGATTTCTTCCAACCCACCTCTACATCGCAAAACATAGCTCAACGAGGCAGTCGGTGGTTAGGCATACGTAACACATGTCCCAACCACCTCAACTGAAGATTTTTCAATACTTCATCTATTGATTTGCCATTCATACCTAGTACTCGTTGCCTAACGACAGTATTGCATACTCGGTTGCCCCGGGATACACGAGAAATGCTTCACATAAGCCTATCGTCGAAAACCAGTAACCTACTAATATCTTCTACTCTTACCGGCCATGTTTCACATCTATATATTACGACGGAGCGAACTGCTGCGAAATAAACTCGTCCTTTGGTTTGGTTAGGAACCTACCAAAACAGATTTTCTTGTCATAACCATCAAAACTGAAATCTTGGGCTAACATCCATTCAACGTTTATTGTAGGCTTGGTTGGGTTCCGCGAGACGATAGTAACTGATGGCTATTGACCTTGAACTATATGGCTCGAAATCGTTCGCAATGGTGCAGGTGCATTAACTCTCTGCCTCCCATCACCTTTATCCTTTTTTAAATTTGTTTCACTGGATTCTACTTTTGAATAATTTCTTCGAATAATAATCTACTCCATAACCGCTACTTCTACTATTTCTACCACTATGGGATTTGAAATGACAGTTGTGTCTCTGTGCTAATGTGGTATGGCAACATGAACTTATGTGCGTACATACGAAGTTCTACGTTGTAACTGACTGATATCCGACTGCAAACAGTCTCATGTCTCAGTGTTCGCTACACTTTGTAAGAAAGAAGATACCGTATAAGTTATTCGGATCAATTATTCGGCGTTATAGACTACGCGCGTTACTCAAAATTGCTGAGGGATCAGGACGTAGTAATCGTCGTACATCGCTCTTAATTTAAATAAGCGGATGAGCATCAAAATTGACCTCAAACTCTATCTAACATTTGGTTAACAACGAATCAATTTTAACTTTTGTGGCTAGTTCAAAAGAAAGGTCATTAGAGTGTGAACGACCGTAGCATCCTTTAAGAAAAAATGATGTTTTATTATTTTCGCTTTTAAGTTCTGATGTCAGTAAGCATTGGCATCAGTGACAGTATTTTAGGTAACTCAATCAATAACTAGAAATCTTCACTACTAAGTACGGAACATCTTTTTTATACCAAAGTACTGAAGATGGGCGAAATAAAACGCTACTTTTGACTTGTTTAAACTTTAAATTAAATTACTAATACTCTGATCTTCGTTATCCAACTCTGAAGATACTTTGAAAGTAAACCCATTTTTTATTGCTGAAAATTATTAAAGATGTTCTAGTAGTCTATGTAACAGGTCATACTGACAAAACACCAACTACATATTGCCAATGGAAATCTCTGGAAACAAAATTTGTTAAGGTTGCTTGTTCGAGACTATATTTGACTTAACAAGTACATATCATCATACTCCAATATCTTGAATTCACCATTCTCAATGGGAGTAACTAGTGATTTTCTTCCTTTGCTTTCAAGAAAATACGCTGAAATGTAAGGGACTTGGAAGATTTAGCGGCATAGCTTGTTATATGTTGTATTTGGTCATCAATTTTGCGCGCTGGTGCTGTAGAGGCGCCCTCTATATGGGTGCTATTGAGAGTGAGGTCCTTTTCAAAGAATAAATATGTTCCAACTGTATCTTCAAAATGTCCTTCAAAGACTGCGGGACCAACCTTGAAATTATTAAAGGGTGCAGAACAACTATTAGTCATAAAAATATCATAGTAACGCCATATTATATTAATTAGCAGGAGGAAGGGCAGAAAGCTTAAACGCTGTTAGCCGACTACATAATAGTTAATTTAAAAGTTTTGCACTAAACTGTTGTAAGTCTCCTTGAAGAAAATCCCTAGATTAACGCGAACAAAATTCCACATCAGCACTGAATCTGAGCTGTATACTAAATAAGCGACAGTTTATTAGGGAGACCTAACACGTTACAACTACCTGGCATATATCACTAACCAGTAGTACGTTAGGGAGTGCCTCACCGCAGAGTAGAGACACTTGCAAAGGAATCACATTATTACGTCGGTAGGCAAGTGAGTTTAAAAATTACAGCTTACTATGGCATAAGAAGTTGCAATCAACAACGTAAAAAAACTTTGTGGTTAGAGACCTATAGCAGAATAGTTCGTAAGCTTTCATGGTGCTGATACACTAGATATAAATAATATGAAGCAATATTTATACAGTTTTTATTGATGTCCCAACTCTTAATTGTTTATTATGCACCAGCAGTTTTGTTTCACATATAACAACCAAATAGTGAATAATTTCGTAGCTCCTGAAAAGTGCGGTAAGGATTAAAACTCTAATGATCATACTTGTCATGGTTAATGAACTCAGCTCTGATGCTATCCATTTATTTAAACAGAAGAGAAAAGTGTTTAGATTTAATGACTGGAAACCTAGTGTTTAACCTTAAGCTGCCATCCTACTTTCTAGTTACGAAAACAGATACACCTGTAGACCCTTCGGGGCTACTGCCGGTCCCAAGCTCGGATAAAGGAGGAAAGTTAACGAGATGTACGTATGTACGTACGAAGTTCTACGTTGCCGTTGATTGATTTGATTGATCGAGTCATGAAATCCATGTGGTCTTTAACTCCCATAGACTTGATTTACATTTATCAGTTATTTTTCGAAGCCGTATAACAGAATGGATTGTGCTAATATGCCTTATAACCGTCTATGAAGGACATTTCCCGTGTCACAAGTGGTGTAGTTTTAAAATATCAAGTGAACATCTGTATATGACAAAACACAATGCTTACAAGCATAGTTGTTAAAAAACTCCTCATATGACGCACTTAGTTATATTGATGTCTAAGGAAAAATTGTAGTTAAGATTGTGATTATGAAAGATTATGTACTTAGTAGATGCACGCTTTTCAAGTGTTCGCATTAGAAATCATCTAAACAAAGATAATACTCGCCTTAAAAAGATCATCTGAATAACGAAATAATTTAACAGAGTATTGAATTGCTAGTTAATCTACCTGCATGAGAGGTTTAGCTGATTCTATATCCACAAGACGAATGGTACTAGATGGGGTTAAGATATCATCTTCTAGTAAACCTTGGCAGTCTACATACAAAACTTCTTCATTGATTACTTCCCAGTCATCACTCAGGTTGTTAGGATTGTTAAAATGTAATTCAAGATTCCGTTCATTGTAATTCTGATCTTCAAACGGTTTTAAATGAGATGATGAATAAGTAGACTGACTTTGTTCCGCGCTGCTTTTAAAGTTGTTATCAGTTGAATTCTTTTCCGGTAAACTCTTGGAAGACTTTTGGAGTTTCCCATTCGTCAGGATTGATGTCATAGTTTTCCATGTAATGTGACATGAACCACCATTTCCCCATGAATCCAAAATCCAGAATGCGGTCCTGAAAAATATTTTGTATGCGTTCCCAACCATTTTCTTGAGGCCGATCAAACAATAATAAACGAATGAGACCTGTAAAATTCCCGCCTCCATTAGCAGGATAGGTGTATTTGCATACTTCTGCATACTGATGACACGACTGAGTTCGATCATCACGCCAGATAACTGTAAATAATCCAAGGTTACTATATCTAATCTGTTCTTTAGAAAATAATTTAAGACATCTGTGAATGTAGCTAGTACTTTTGGAGTTGCGTATAAGATCTGGAACTTCCCATAAATCAATAGCTGATTCAACAAGAGAAGCATAATAATTTTGTTTGTTAGGACAAGTGCTTGTAATGTATGATACACTAAAGACAGCTGAAGCCCAGAAAGTAGATCGTAATGGATTTCGACGAATGAGTTGTAAAGTGTCACGACCAGATGAGATGTAGTCGTCTGCTAATTGTTTGAAATAAGTATCTAATAAAATGAAAAGGTTTTGCAAATAAATATATCGACAACCTAACTACTGTGTCGTGTACAAGGCAATTAGGCATTGTAGTATACATAGAAATAAGGACTATTTGTAAAAGCACAAAACACGGAAAACCCACAGACAGTATTAATATTAAAAGTAAGTTTTTTATTTTATATGAACTGGATCTGCTGTATAAACTAGCGTGAACCTTGTAATCATTTCAGAAATATACATGACTACAAATTTTTGGGAATTTAAAAATAAAGTACTGGTACCTATTTAAATGACAGCTGAATGGTACTATGATCTCATTGAAAAGTGTTCAGTAATATACGTTGTTTGTACACGACTACTAAGGATGTGTAGAATAATTTGCTCATTCGCCAAAACACTGAAAAAACCTTAAAGTTACAGCGTCACCTTATGAATCAGCTGTAATCTTACATTTTAGTAGTACATTATTCCAGTCAACAGTGGGAAGACTGGTAGTAATAAAGTACTTATGTGGGAAGTGTTATTAAGTGGATTAAAATTTTTTTAAAAAGAGAAAAGAGTGATAATTATTTAGGAATCTCATCAAATTATAGGAATTTTCTAACAAGTTTGAAGTCTGCGATAAATTAAGGAATGGAATATACTCCAATAGGCAATCAGGAAAGTGGTAAGAAAAATCCAAGAATAGTCGCAAATCTTACTTGTTAGGAAGCAATCATTAATTTGAAGGATACTATTAACTGAAGCTCAAATACAAATCCAACTACACAAACACCCGTTCATAACATTATTCAAGAAGCAGTGCTGAATTGTGGTGATTCGACAGTTACAAAACCTAACTGCCTAGATTCAAAACTAAGTACACAAACTTAGGTACGACTTCAACCTAACTGTATCACGTTGTATTTTTCACACTTCAATTATTGCAGACAGGTGTCATACAAAAAAGATGGAGAGTTTTGACCATACCGCAACGTCACAATATAAAAGTAAATGAACTTGATGGTAAAGTGCAAATAACTCATGAAAATTTTAAAAACCATATATAGTAATGATAAAATCAGATGCCATCTGTTATTTTAAGCACCGTACAACCAGACCTAAATTTAAGTTATTTTATCTACCTACTAGTTGCAATTTCTTTACTTTCCCGTTCCAGTCAGTCAATAACAAGGTCAAACTTCAAGTTGCCACACCACAGCGAGATCGAAAGGTCAATTCAAGTTCCATAGTAGTTGAGGTTGTAGCAGTATTAGCGGTAGTGGAAAAGATTAAGGATCGAAAATATGACTCTGGAATTACATCTCAGTGAAATAAATTTAAAAAGACAAAATATGGTAAAGAATTCATAAGATTATAATTTGAGATAAGACAAAGAATGGATGCACCTGCGCCATCGCAAACGATTTTGAGCCATGTAGTTCGTCTATAAACATCCATAACTATGGTCTCGCGGACCCCAACCAGTTAGACTGAACCTACTAACATGATTCAGTCCACTTGTCAGCGACTTCATGGATTTGTACCAGGTTTTGGTTTGGCCGCACATAGATTTCTTCCAACCCACCTCTACATCGCAAAACATAGCTCAACGAGGCAGTCGGTGGTTAGGCATACGTAACACATGTCCCAACCATCTCAACTGAAGATTTTTCAATACTTCATCTATTGATTTGCCATTCATACCTAGGACCCGTTTCCTAACGACAGTATTGCATACTCGGTTGCCCCGGGATACACGAGAAATGCTTCACATAAGCCTATCGTCGAAAACCAGTAACCTACTAATATCTTCTACTCTTACCGGCCATGTTTCACATCTATATATTACGACGGAGCGAACTGCTGCGAAATAAACTCGTCCTTTGGTTTGGTTAGGAACCTACCAAAACAGATTTTCTTGTCATAACCATCAAAACTGAAATCTTGGGCTAACATCCATTCAACGTTTATTGTAGGCTTGGTTGGGTTCCGCGAGACGATAGTAACTGATGGCTATTGACCTTGAACTATATGGCTCGAAATCGTTCGCAATGGTGCAGGTGCATTAACTCTCTGCCTCCATCACCTTTATCCTTTTTTAAATTTGTTTCACTGGATTCTACTTTTGAATAATTTCTTCGAATAATAATCTACTCCATAACCGCTACTTCTACTATTTCTACCACTATGGGATTTGAAATGACAGTTGTGTCTCTGTGCTAATGTGGTATGGCAACATGAACTTATGTGCGTACATACGAAGTTCTACGTTGTGACCGATTGATTTTATTGATTGATGGGTATCTCACCCACGGGCCAACACGCTCAACTACTATACTCCCTCTCACTAGTTCAGGTACTGACGCAAGCTAGTCTTGAAGCAACATTTTGCATTTCGAAGGGGGAGAATCGCATCTTAAACATGCTGAATTGTTCCTTAAGGTAACCAGCTCCTTAAAAGTCGGACGATGAAACTGTCGTTTTTCAAACCATGTCAATGGCAAAGTTAAATAAGAATGGAGACAGTGGACAATCCTGACGAGCAGCACTTGAAGCAATCAATTCGTTTCACATGGGTATCACTGGAAATATAGTCCTGAAAAAGAGTAGCTATACTCCTGGATACCCACTGTAAACTACGAAGCCCACAGAAAAATCCAAACTACTTGAAGTTTCATGTAACAATCTACTGTGATTTACATATGGTATAAAATCCTTATGTATGGCACAGATTTAGATTTTATTATAATGCGTTTTAACTACACTCGTTAAGTAAATGGTTTTATTTAATATATTCCAATAATTAACGAGTATAAACATGTTGACTTAAGCTATCACATTTGAGCGAAAATTATGGGTGAAAAATGTTTGAAAGCTAGTATCCACTTACGGATTCTTGTCTTCAAGTTAATGTTTGAGCCATTAGACAGAACTTTCTGTCGTAAAAGATTGGTAAAGGAACTCATAGATAGCAGCAATTGACATGACTATTTTACGGTACAATAACACTCCAGTGAATTAGAACCGATGATGTATGATCTTGATGATAAAACAAGAAAAATTGAGACAATTGTGTGAAAACGGTATTAAAGTACTTTTAAATTTCTAATTCAACCTCCATGTTATTATTTCGCGATACAACCCAATAATCATCCAATAACAATGCCTGAGCAAGTAATCTAAGTAAAAGTATCAGTCTCAATGAAAGCAAACAGCTTAACAATATTATTTCCCACACCATCTTTTGGAAGAAGAGCGTTGGTTTGATTCTGCTGCTATGCTACTCTCAATTTGTCTGACGATCGCCCTAATTTCTTCGATTGTTTGTGAGGTAACACCCACAGAAATCTGTGTTCTGCTTCGATAGTCGATGAGTTCAGTGGGGTTTTTAATGTCTCAACCATGTGACAAGTATAAAAACAAGCTTTCTTAGCAAGGACTCAAAGATCTCACGTCATCGACGTTTGCTGCTTCTCCAAAACGCGTATACATGGTCAGTCAGTCAGTTATAACGTAGACGTTTGTACGTAAGTACAGCCGTTCATGTTGCCATACCACATCAGCACAGAGATACAATTGTCACTTCGAAGCCCATAGTAGAGATAGTAAAAGTATTAGGAATAGCCGGACAGATTAGGGTTCGAAGGTATTATTCAAAAAGTAAAATCCAGAGGAGTAAACATAAACAGAGAAAAATAGAGGTGATGAGGAACTCTGCAGGTTAGGATTCAAGAGAACACAAAGAATGAATGCACCTGCGCCATTGCAAACAGTTTTCAGCCATGTTATTCAGGGTCTCTAACCATCGATTACTATCATCTTGCGCTAATCCTACCTTACGTTTCAGTGGTCAACAAACTAGTCATTATAAGCCAACCGATATCAGTAAATTGGCTGAAGCTTCCGCCACAAGTAAATAACGAACCGAGCCAGTTTTAAGGCTAATTATTAACATACCGAAAAGTACAGATGAGAACTGGTTGCATTTAAGTAACCCCATAAAAATAACGAGTAAAGTCACTTGCTGCTTTGCGTAACACTCCGCTTGTAAACAATGGTTTTGTGCAGACTGCTTATAATTCGCTGACTGGCTCTTCTCCGGGTAGTCGCGAGTTTGACAAACGCATATTGTCATGTAATGAAATTGTGCAAGGTTTGCGTAAGGATCGAGAAGCCTGGCGGTTGGAGCGTACTTACGAGCTGAAAGCAGCAGCTACATTTATGAAATGTCAGCTCTTTCAACTCATCTGAACAACTGGCAGCAAGAAGTTTGACAAATACGCGCTCGCACTAGGGCATGA